AAGATTTCATTTAGAATGACAGAAAAACGCCGTAAGATGGTCAGTCTTTGAAATTCTAGAAATATTCTCCCAATGTTGGAGGGCCACTGAGAGCTAAGTGCATTTTAAAGTATTTCTTAGAACTTCCCTGGTGCAGAAATCTGAGCACTTACTTTGAGTTACCTGACAGCAGAAAGAACGTTGGGTTACGTGGGATAAACCCAGGTGCCAGAGGACTCTGCAATGGAAAGGCACCGGCCATGGAGGTTTGTAGTGCAAAGAATCAGCGGTGTGGCACGCCATAGCGATGATGTAGAAGCCAGAGGTGACACATCAGAATCTCCCCAGTCATGCATGCATCTGGTATAGCATTTGTCAACAAATATTCAAGTTGGGGAATGATTAACATTTGGTCCCACTATTGCTTAAGCAGTGACTGAGAAGAGTCAGCAAAGGCCATACCAAGCTTGCAGTAGATTTTTGTGTAGGGATAGAGATGGGTGTGTGCTGCTTTGTTAGTGAAACCCAGGTAGGTCTGCCTTTGATTTAATTTTGTGTGCTTTTTTTCTTCTGGTCACAGTCATATCTCAAGAACTGCCAGGTATTAGTGACATGGCTCTGAATGCTGTGAAAATCCAGCTTTCTGATGAGAGCTGGTGTGTGTGTGTGTGTGTGTGTGTGTGTGTGTGTCTGTGTCTGTGTCAGAGGCAGGAGTCTTCATCTTCAGGGTGTGGCTGGGGAAGCTAAGGATCCTCATGTGGGCTCCAGGTATGCTCTCTTGAGCTTACTCCAGGCCTAGAAAGAAACAGGGCAGCAGTTGGGCAATTTCAGGGTTTGGGGACAGCAGAATTGAAGTAACACCTGAGTTTGTCCTTCCCTGGACACTTACTTCTACTATGCATGGGCTAAGCCTCAGGAGAACCTTAGTGAGGGGGCTGCCAATTTGTGTGGCTGTTTGTAGGTGTATCTGTACTTAGTGAGGGCAAACTGGAGGCTCTTGGTTGGGGAGAGTGGTATGTACCCCTTTGACCCTGTATCTGGATAAGGTATAAAGTCAGTATCCAATCTAGGTCTTTATCAAATGATGGGGGACTTTTTCAGAAGCTGAAGGAACTGCAATCCCACAGTGTGACTGAGTCCCACCTTGGAACGCTGCGGGATGAAGAGTCAGAGGAGCGACTCAAGCAGGCACAGGAGCTCCAGGCCCTGCGAGAGAAGATGGAGGTTCAGAAGACAGAGTGGAGTGGAAGAGAAAAATGAAGGAACTGCAGGCAGAGCGGGCAGCTGAGAGGAGAGAGCTACAGGAAAAGAATGAGAGGCTACATGCCTCCCTGTTTCAGGATCAGAAGAAAGCAGCTGCTCAGTCTCAGCACCATATCAGTGTCCTCCCTGCCGAATTGGAGGAACAAGCCAGACTCATCGCTTCCCGGGAGGAGATGATTCAGACTTTGTCTCTCAGGAAGGTGGAGGTAAAAGAAATGCCAAAGGCTGTGGACACAAAGGACATAGAAGAGACCTCTTCTGAGGAAGAGCCAGAGGACGCCCATGATGAGCAGTGGAGGGTGCTGGCATCTCTGAGGCAAAATAGTACCTGGCTGAAGCAGTTCCGGCCCTCTCTGGAGGACGTCCTGGAGAAGAAACTGGAACACATGGGAATTAAGAGGGACACAAAGGGAATCACAGCTCAGACTCTCCAGTCTCTGGAGGCCTTACTGAGAACCCAGCGGCAGCAGACTGCCGGGAGCTTTTCTGAATTTTCGAGTCTGAGGGAAAAGCTCAACGGGGAAGCCACCAGCAGAGTGAAGAAGAGATGGGAAGGAGGGAGTGCAGTGTTTCGGCCACGTGGCCGGCCTCCAGTCAAAAGCCAGCAGAGCGCACTGGCCACAGGGGAGGCCCGGCCAAGGACCAGGACTCGGAGTGTGGTGCTGCCATCCAAGCCAACAGGGCCTTCTACATCAACTCTTCAGAGCCACAGCCAGCCATGTCCCTGGCTTGACCCAGGTGTCTACTCCCATTCCACGCCCCAGAGTGCATGGACCCTCCAGCACCCCTGTTTCCCCCGGGCCTGGACTGAGCAGCAGCACTCCTCCTTTCAGTTCTGAAGAGGACCCAGAGGGAGACGTTGTGCAACGTGTATCTCTTCAGCCCCCGCAAGTTCTTTCCAGGTCAGCTTCCCAGCCAGGGAATGGCTGGGACTGGTCTGATTCTGAGATCTCAGAGGAGAGTGCCCAGCCCCCTGGCAAAGGCTCTGATGGGCTGGCATCCTCCTCTTGCTCTGGATCTCTGGAGCAGGTTTTCAGAGGCAGGGAGCTTGGAAGGCAGGAAGAGTCATCTCTTCCATTTGCTTTCCTCTGAATCAGCCCTTTTTCTGTCTTGGGTGGTGCTGAACTCTGATACTTTCTACATTTATCAAAATGTGTTCTCTCCTCTTTCATCCCTGCAGCTTTCTGAAGATGAGAGTGACTTGGAGATCTCTTCCCTGGAAGATCTCTCAAAGGACCTGGACCAGAAGGAGAAGCCAAAGCCCTTGTCCCGCTCAAAACTCCCAGAAAAGTTTGATGCCGCTTCTTGGAGTTCTGGTCGACCCAGGGTTCCTGACTGGTGATCCTGCTCAGGGTTGCCAGAGGGCTTAGCCTTGTTACCTGGGTGGGGCCAGCGTGAGTTTCATTCCAACAGAAGAGGCTGACAGGTGTCTTGCCTTCCCCAGGAGCCAAATAATCTTCCACTTGGAGACAAGCAGAGCAGCAGACAGATACGCTTTCCCTTCTCCCTGCAACGTCTCCCACAGCCTAGGTGCCTGGTGGAGTGACCTGTGTCCCAGTGCTTAAGAGAAAGGTTAGAACAAGACCTCCAAATGTTTCTTCCATGATTCCTATGTCCAGCCCAAACCTGCAGGTCACTGTGGAGTAGGTAATATATCAGTTACTGTCAAAAAAATAAAAAATAAAAAATAAAATAAACCCACACACCCTGTGGACCTGCGCGTGAGATTCTGGGTTCAATCCCCAGCACACAAGAAAATTACATGTAGAGATTTCATCCAAGCGCACGGACGTCAGCTACCTAGGTACCAACCTGGGAGAAACGTTTTGTACTACAAGAACCTGGCGGTTGCCGTGTGGAGGGGCAACGCTCGCAAGAACTTGCGGAATTTGGTGTCACTTGCAAACGCGGATGGACATTTTATTGACCAATCATGGCCCAGGGAAGGTGGGACCAATAGGTTAAAGGTCGAACGGAAGTTCCCGAAGCTTCCGGTCGCCCGCTTGGAGAGGCGTTATGGCTAAGCATCATCCGGATTTGATTTTCTGTCGCAAGCAGGCTGGTGTGGGTGAGATGGCGCCCTACCCGTGCTGCCTGAGTGGGGTGGGGTTGGAAGTTGGGGGCCTGGGGGTCTTGGCTTGGACGCCCCGCGTTCCGGGGTGCGCGGGTGATGCCGGAGCGCGCGCATCGTTGTGGCTTCTAAGAGGGCAGGGATGCGCGCCCAAATGACGGGAGGTGCGGTGTTGGGTCCTGGAATCTATCCGGGACTGCTCGGAGGAGTTCGTATTTTGGACCGGAGTTTGGCTCAGACCGGAGTTTAGGAGGATAGGCCGGACGCAGATGGAATGGTCTACATGGGGAACTCCAAGCTAGCCCTAGCCCAGGTTACATCAAGAAGAAAAGACAAG